CAGGGAAGAAGATGAAGGAAGCCGGCCATGGAGTACGCCTGGAGGCTATGGAGGTGGAAATCCAAGAGCTCAGGGCATTGGTGGCCAGTCAGGCAGCTATCATCGAGAGCCTGAGGCAGCAATCTCAGGGAGAAGTGGACAAGCCAGAGAGCAGCCAGCAGGGGGAACAGAGGCAGGCAGGGCATGAGTCAGCAGAGCAGCCACGCCAGAGATCGCCCATGGGGAGAGTCATCATGGAGCCAGAGGAGGCAAAGGCCAAGAGGGAGGCAGAGAGAAGAACTTTTGAGTTTAGGACTCCTACAGAGCTCAGCACTCTGCCTATTATGCCAACAGAGCCTGTTTTGCTCATACCAGTTGAGGAGGGTTTGCCAGCGATTAGCAGTGGGCCGGCTCAGGGCTCAGCTGGGGAGTCCATGGATGTACTCTTAGAGGCGATAGATACCATGCAGGAGGAGGCGAGTTTGTTCTCACCTGAGCAGAGATTGGACGAGCCTCTGGAGAGTGCATTGAGAGTTGAGACCAGGGATGTTGCTGAGGGCAGGCCACAGAGATTGGACCCACCTGAATATAGGCCAGAGGGGGTTGGGATTCGATCGCAGTCGAGTACTTAGGAGTTGGAGAGGAAGCCTGAGGGGCCCTCGGACGTGCCTTTGAGTTTTGAGCTGAGCAGGGAGGCTAGCGAGGCACCATCCTCGCCTGGATCTCAAATGGGGAAGAAGAAAGGAAAAAAGAGGCATGATGATTCCTGCTTCTATTGTAAGAAGGAAGGTCACAGAGCATGGGATTGTCCTAAGTTCCAGAAGAATGAGGCCGATGGGAAAGTGACTAGAAGGAATGGGAAGATGTACGATAGGCAGGGGAGAGTAGTAGAGAGATCTCAAGATGGAGGTAGGGCTCAATTGTATAGGCAGAACCAGGAGGAGATGAGTGAGTAGGGCTGGCCTACCTATATGATTGACATGTTGTACATAGGATCTGAGTTTAGAATGGAGTGTCATCTTTTAGATTCAGATAGTTGTTTGTACCTGATAGTCGCTTTGGATTTGGGTTTCTGTTGGATTGTCATCTTGAGAATCAGGACTTGATAGATGAGGCATGTACATATTTAGGTGGCCTACACCCTGACTTTTGAGAGACAGTTCTGCCATGTACTTTGAGGATAGTTGTGAGTGTCGGAGTGGTTTGATTTTGAGTTGAGTGAGTTGTGATCTGGAGACACTTTTTGTGTGAGACATTTTATCCCTGAGTGTATATTATGACGATACTTTTTGAGGGGTTATTCTCTATATATGGCGATCGCTTGTCTCGCTCACATGTGTGGTTGTACTTGATGCATGATGGATTTTTGTGGACAGTGTGTGAAAAGTATCTTATGTATCTTGCATATTGCGAATGTGATGATAGGCAAACTGTCTACTCCTCGGTATACTTATGCGATCTGCCCTTAGGCAGAAGATGAGGCAGGGTATAAGGGGAGGTAGTGCAGTTCGCATTTATGAAGAGAGATGCAAAAATTTCAAATGTTCATATGGCTTGAATTGTGCAGGAAGGACCCATAAGTTGGTCTTTCAGTTTGATTGTTTATGGGAGAGCTCATCCTAGAGAGAGAGGGATGGCTAAAAAGACCTATTGAAGAGAGACCTCCTTTATATAAGGTGGTTAGATGGTAAATTATTATGATTGATAAAAGACGGACGAGAGGGACCAAAATTTTGTTTGGTTATTGGTGAGATTTTTTGGATGTCGCAAATGGTTCATTTTTGGGAGATGACACCGAGATGTGTGGCTTTCTTGCTCTGATCAAGTGGGGAGGTCATGGCCTGGTGAACCTGACGGTGATTTTGTTTGTGATTGTGAAGAGGTTGCCGTGACTCTTGGTGCTGTCCCACCAAGGGCTGGTAAATACCTTTTATGTGTGACAGGTCTATGCGTAGTCCCGCAGTAGGTTTGTATTGTTGGGACACACCGTCAGTCACTTGTGCTAATCTTGGGCATTTATGAGAGACCCAGCGAGGGGTATAACTAGCATCACTAGGGCACAACCCCTAGTGTTGGCCGCTGTTTGGCATAACCTGAGCAGAGGGTCTGCGTCTTGCCAAGGGGATAGAAGACTTAAACGGGCGTAAACGCCTAGGAGGGTTTTTATTCCTGCGGAAGGGCGTGGGATAAGAGTCGAGTCATGTGGGTCTTTGTGAAAAGAGTCCTGATTGATTGCTTATCAGGAAAAGCCTACCGTGGCGTAACCCGCGGGGGCACTACCGTCAAATAACAACACGGTGGGCCGTAGATCTGGCATGATCACCCTGACTATGGTGGGCCAGGATGGAGACCTAACCTTCTTGTACTAGACTGCAGGAAGGATTGATGTGAAGATTTATGTGGTGTATATGAGCCTGATATGAAAATTTTCTGGGAGGAAGGCGAAAAAGTGCCTTCGAAGGTCTCGGTTACGGCCCGCGTCCCTAGTCATGACTTTGTTTTACAAGGGAAGGACTAGGAACACACAACGAGAGGCCGGCGGTTGTCTAGGGCAAAGTGGAGGGGACAGTGAGAGATCCATTTGAACTTATGTTGTAGTACAGTGAGAAGTATCCTGGCGCCCGAATGTCAGAACGACGGAGACCCAGGTTAGAATCCTGGCAGCATAAATTGGCATGGATTATTGGAGGACTCGAACCTGAGTCTGTCGGTCAATCGGATTGTTACCCTGCTCGTCAGCATTTGTGGAATGGGATTGAACTGATAGCTTTTTGATTCTGCGAAGCGACGGGGACGTCGCTTAATATGGTCCGGTAGGCTGTCGGCGCGAATACCCTTACAAGGGTATCCGCCCTGGTTTTTGCAAGTAACAAAAAATAAATAAATAAGTTCAGTTGAAGTTTGAGTAGACCGCAAAAACTGTAAGTTGCCGTTGACTGAAGGTTTGACTATAACATTCGAAAATAGAGGTTGTGTGGGCGCGCAGGCTTAAGGCGCGCGTGATCTTTTTCTTTGATCTTGATTGTAAGACCGGCACGGACTCTGGTTGTTTATGTTATTATAAATGTTATTTCTGACTAAACCAAGATTTAGGATTATAGTTGACGACCCAGAGTAACCCTGCGTCGAATCCAGATGATGGGACCTGACAGATACGACTAAGTAGGGGTAGCCGTGGCACGATCGGTATGGCCGGGGCGGGCTTTTTTGGTGGTTGCGTAAGTAGGCGTAGGCGGGACAATATTGCGGAGCACTTTGCGGCCCTGGACGGCCATGCTGTTACTGTTGTACCTCTTTATGTAGGAATTCGGGCATGTTGGCCTTAGGCTTGGGCTTAGCCCTATTGGTTACGATACTGGATTGACACGGCAGAGGCCTTGGGGTCGAGGCCGGCGAGCGTCGGCGTGGTAGCTGAAGCGGAGCATGAAGAAGGGAACCAACGGGGTTGAGGGCCGCAGGGCTATCCCCCTCGGCTTTTGCTAACGGGCGTGGCGGTGGGCCCAATCCACGGGACTGGTGAGGAGCCAACAGCCCCGCCGTTCCCCGACAATGCTATTCATTGCTCTATTTTATTTCCAATTTTTATTTTTCCAATTTTTAATTTTGGTCCTTTTTTTTATCGCGCCCCGTCCTGGGACACAAGATGGCGGTAGGGTCGCATGGGGGTGTGTTGTATTTGTGGGGTTGCCTAAAGTGCAATTACAAACTGAATTTGCGGCTGCGCCAGGCCGCGCCTCATTTTTGCCTTATGGCGCGGCGCCGTGGGGAGAAAATACAGGCTCGTGTTCAGACCTTGTTGAGGGAACTTGATGAGTAAATCCAAATAGTTTGGGTTGTCTGAGAGGTCGGGGCCGTCTGATCCCTGTGGCCCAGGCTGGTCCTTATTGGAACGATACGGACGAGACCAGCGGGGTCACGGTGGAGTGCTGGGGCTGTAGAGCGAAGGCCCAAAGGAAAACCTTGGTAGAGGCTCGCAGCGATACTGACGTGCAAAATCGTTCGTCAGGCTTGGGTATAGGGGCGAATGACTAATCAGACCAGCTAGTAGCCGGATTTTTTCCGAAGCCCCCCCCCTCGAGGCTGGCCAGGTAGCGCCGCATAGTAGCGGGTGTCGGGACATCAGACGTAGGAGGCAAGGCCGACAGGGATATAACGTTGTGAGGGAATGCGGCGAGTGAACCTGTCCGGGGTTCTGCCGCAGGTACATGTGGAGCGAATGGGCAAAACCTGGCGGGATCAGACAACAGCGGGCAGATAGTGCTGCGCAGTGGGGGCAAAACGATAGCACGGTGGAAGCGGGGTTCCGCTGTGACTAAGTCCTTCGGGACATCCGTTAAAATTGGAACGATACAGAGAAAATTAGTACGGCCCCTGCTCAAGAGCCAGCAAGGCCAGTAGCCAGCTGCTTCGGTCGGTGTTTGGTAATCTCAAGACCCGAGGTACTGGGAAGGGGCGAGGCAACCAAGGGGGCTGAATCTGGACGCGATGCTTGCTGGGTGCATGAAAAGTGGGAGGGAAGGATAAGCGCCAAGAGTACCAAAAAAAAAAAAAAAAAAAAAGAGGCGGACCAAGGAGTCTTTGAAGTATAAATCAAGGAGCAGCGCTCAGTCACCGACTGATTCCTGCGAAAGCCATGCGGAAGCGCTATCGCAGCGCATTGTGCAAGAAGGCCGGCAGTTCGGGCGTTGAGGCTACAAGCAGTTCGGGGCGAGGAACAGCAAGGATCCGGACGGGATCCTGCGTAGAATCCATGCGCAGTAGGAAAAGAAGGCAGCGGGCGTGGGTCTGACGGGCAGTAGCGCTATGGGGTGGAGCCACGAAGACTGCCAAGTGCCAGCGCGCCGGTAGGAAAAGTGACGAGCGCGCGCGCGCGCGCGCGCGAGAGAGAGAGAGAGAGAGAGAGAGAGAGAGAGAGAGAGAGAGAGAGAGAGAGAAAGAGAAAGAGAATGGGAAAGAGACAAGCCGGCGCAGTAGAGAGGGTGAAAAGCTCGGCAGCAGGGTAGAAGCAAGAGTGGGGCGAACCTAGACAGGATCCTGCACGAGGTGCATTCAAAGAGGAGTGATGGCGGGGTGAGCTAGTAGCTCACCTGTTTCTTGTTGGATTTAGGTGGGGGAAGAGAGTAGGTTGGGGTTTTAGGTTAGGGCGAAGCTATTGGTGATGTTAGTTTTGGAAAAGGGTTAGTGATATGGGAGTTGTTAGAAAAAGGTGGTGCGCGGCCATCATGGACGAGGGAGGTGGTGACGAGGGTAGAAAGTTTGATTTCGACAGTTTCTTGACGGAAACGGGCGAGTGAAGGCTCGTTTCCAATGTTTTGGGGTAGTGCCAATCAAATGGTGTGGTCAGATTTGAAAGAGGATCAAGGGATTTGGAGTTAGAAAAAGAAAAGAAAAAAAAAAGAAAAAAAAAAAAGGAGAGAGAATGAATCTGTCCATTTTCTATCCTTTTCTGATCCCCTGCTAACCTGATGATAACGCTACCACCTACACTAAACATTACCCCCTTGAAGTCTTTCTCGGGGTCCACACGGCGGCCAGGGAAGGAGAAGGCTCGCTGCACAGTCGGGCACTATGACAGAGAAAAGAGACAGGAGAATAGAGGGAGTGAACTTAGGTATGAGGACTTACCTACTGGCTGTTGTGTCGCTCCTTCTATTAGCCACAGTTAGCACGAGGGGA